GTATAAGCAAACTAAAGAAATGTGATTCTGTTTTAGACAAAAAACTAGGTGGAGCCCCTTTTATGCACTGCTCTGTTAAATATAATTTAGATGATATTATCAATAAACACATACAGCTTCTTCAAGGTGCTGTTGGTCTGGATGATCATTTGGTGTGTGTCGCAGGATCTCTCTGAGTAGCAATGGGTATTTCACCAGACGGCTTCTTGGGATGTCAAGGAAGTTCCAGAGGTCCAGTTTGCGACTGAAAGGTGACTCTAGGCAACGCTGCAGGAAATCTTGTACTCGATGATCCTGTTTCTTATGGTCCAGTAATGCTTTGGCAGCTACCTGGTTACTGCAGTAGCTGTCGTAGGAATTCAGGCAAGGCAGCTAAAGAGGGAAAAATGAAAGTAATTTGTGAGCCATTTATTTGGCGAGAAATTCTAATATTTATGTACTCTCTTGCACTTTTTTCTCTTTCTTACACACAAACATGCACAGATATACACATTGTTTATTTTTGAAAAATGTATCCTCACATCAATTGTTTTCAACAAATAAAGCTGATGCACAGTAGTTTTATTTTGATTATAACTTTGTATTAAAGACTATATGGGTAAACTATGATACCTAAAAGCTTGGTTTTGCTACTTACTCCCATCAAATAGCATAATGTCACAAACACAAACAGTAAGAATTAAAATGAGTGTGATACTTCATGACCTAGACAAAAAAATATAATTTTTGGGGCAATGCTTGAATTATCCGATTAATAAGGACACTACATTTATGGAGCGAGCATCAATGTGTTAGGAACATTTATCAATGCGAGATGCACAATTGTAAAAATGGCACAGAAATAGGCACTTTGATGTTTTTGGCACATATTTGGAAGAGTGCAGAAGATGCTAAGTGTGCCACCTCTTTATTATTTATTTATTTATTTATTTATTCACTCTATATCCCGTCTTTCTCAACCCCGAAGGGGACTCAAGGTGACTTTACGTATGGCAACTATTTGAGGCCTTTAGACAACAGAGAATTAAATACATTCAAGTTAAAATTTAAAATTAGAGTTAAATGAAGTGTCTTTTGGCCTTGCCTATGTGACATAAATATGATTAGGTGATTCTAAACAAATATTCTTAGCAGGCTTGTGAGTCCTAACATCATGATTATTTCATCATACACACAGTGTGCCTTCTAGCTACCCATCAACTTATAGTGACCCCATAACTTTCATAGTTTCCTTAGGCAAGGCATGCTCAGAGGTGGTTTGTCCAGTTCTTTCCTTTGAAATATAGCCTGCAGCACCTGGTAGTCTCCCTCCCAATACTAACCACAGCTGACTTTGTTTAACGTCCAAGATCAGACAGGATCTGGTGCCTTCAGGGTATCCTCCTCCAAACTTTCTAACCATGGCAAATAGCAAAAGGAATACATATTATGACATCTGACGAAAAATTTCCATACCCAGCTCACAAGGATATGACCAACTGAATCCGTAGATCCATCAGGCTTCCTAATTTCTTTCAGTCTCCTGAGAAGGTCTATTGAAAATGTAGAAACAAAAAGGTTATGAAAAAACTCTGGGTTGTAAAAACATGTTGATTGCATGTTCATGTTGAAGTGCAGAATGCTCACATGAGGAAGTTCTGGGACATTATAGTAAATAGGAGGTGACTGCAGCATAAGAACTGCATAAGGATCTTTATGATATTTTTAGAGGTTGTTGAACTGAGGCCACCATCTTTATCTACCTGCTTAGCATGGTCTGGTCATGATAATGCTGCTGAATGATGCAACACCCATTCCATGTCAACAACTGAGTAAGCCAGACCACACCAAAAGACATGTCCCATAAATGTTTTTGTATAACTTCCTAGTCTTTCTTTCAATGCAAAATTCAAAAGACATATTTCCCTGTTTATCTATTTTTGTTTAAAAACTGCTGTGTTGTCTATGGTTTTGAGCAGAACAGTAGAGCTATTGTGGAAGGATGGGTCCCAGGAACACAGTGTTGGCCAATTGTCCTCTTCCAAATCAGTGGCCACGTCAAAAAAGGCAAAGCACAGCCATCATTATTGTGCCTTCATTTACCACTTCTATTATGCATTATGCCCTGCATTATGCACAGAGGAAGAACTGTTTCAAGCTACAGACAATGCAGTCGCCGTTGCCCGATTTGGGTCTAAAATTCTTTAGCCACTTGCGTTTCCTCTATTTTATCAGTTTTATAATAATTTACTTATGCAATTCTTTTGACACGAAATAAATAAAAACATCTCCATGGAATAGGATGCTTTAGGTCAAGACAACTGAAAAGAATAACCCTTTCTCCCCATCACTGCTGTTAGAATTGGAGCCACCTACACTCGTCTAGCAGTTCCTTTTAACGAAAAACAGAACCAGAAATTTCAAAAGATCCAATGTGTATTTTTTCTCAAATCAAATCAAAATCGTAAAAAGTTGTACTGCACACTTTTAAAAAAATATGTATCTCAAAAGCCTCTGATATATTGAGAATAAATTTCTCTGAGTTCTATACGTATTATGGTAAGTTTTACTAGGAATGTTTAAATCAACTATACAAACATCTGGTGAATTCAGCATCTTTGCTACTGCTGTGTGCTTTTCACATCATATCTGAATATGGCAACACAAAGGTAGCCCTAGTACATGGTTTTCATGGCAGAAGTTGCTCAGGGGAAATTTGCCTCAGCTAGCCAGTCCACAATGTAAATACATAACGAAAATGTATTCTCCCCCTATAAACAAAATTATACATAATTGAACAGGGAAAAATCCTGAGAAGTTCAACTTATGAATAGCCTTTCTTCCAAAGCATCTAATGGAATTTGCAACAGTACAGTTTGTGATTCTACAAAATTTTGAACAATAAGAATGATACCTTCATGCAGAGGAATTAAAGAGTCCAGTGTTCCAAAAATTTGGTTCAGTTCTTGTTCTGACAATATGGAGAGCTTAAGCATCGGGTCATGGTAAGCCTGTGCAAACAGAGAATCCATAAAGACATGCTTGAAATTGAAGCTTAGGGATAAACTTTGAAATCCTACTCTTCTACATGAAGTTTCAGTTTGTTGGAATTCTTTTTGATATATGCAGGTGCTTTAAATGACCACAAATAAATCTAAAAGGATAGATAAAATATTAAATGCAACATACCTTCTTTGCTAATTTCAAGTCTTCTATCAAATCTTCTTCTCCTTGTGAAAGTTCAAAAATAGCCTGTAAAACAAAACTCAATCTTGAGAAATTTGCTAGACTTCTCAAATAACTTTTTTAAAACTAGGGATTTGAGCTTGGCTTATGTTTTATATTGCAGCAAAAAGGGAAATAGAAAGCCAATGGACTAATGCAATGTTTATAATGCATAGGTTCCTTTAGTTAAGATAATGATGACACTGGCCAACACACATTTTGGTGCCTCAAATATTAGACCTCTGACCAGACCTCTAAGAATGCTTGCCACAGATGCAGGCAAAGCATCAGGACAACATGACCGCACAGTTCAAAAAACTCACAGCAACTCAATGTTAGACCTGTTTCTGGGTATATTCGACCTGCTGGTTTAAAAAATGGCACCAGTTTTCCCCTATCAACTTCGTTTTTGAGACAGAGAACATATGCCATATACCAGTTGTCACCTGCTCACCCACAGAAACCATGATAACTATATCTGATCCAATGCAATTCTCTGAATCATCACCCTAAATAACCCCAGGAACAGGCCTAAAAACCTAGACACCACAATTTTTTGGGGGGGGTTGAGATGTATTAGTTATATAATTAATTATATAATTGATTTTTGTAGGTCATGACAAGTTATAACCCAATGAATTGAAACAAAAAGGTGGTGTATTTTTCTCTGTTATGTAATAATAATAATGATGATGACTGGATAATGGCTTTTCTGTGACATTTTGACTTCATTTGTGTTGTGATGTGTAGGTACAAGAAATTAACGTTTGTACTAATCTTTCAGATGAGTCAGAAATGTTTGTATCTATGATTAAGTGACAAACAACATTTGTCACCCTTCATTAAAATTCATTTTTTCATGATATTTAATATGCTTCTAATCTTCTAAAATTTTTGCCAGTTTCCCTGCTTCTGGGATATTATGCTCTATCAGGTAGAAGAAATCTAGACGGTAAACTGGAAAAGTGGAGCTTTAAGGAGTTAAGTCTGTCTGGAAATCTTTCCATAGTTGAGGAGAGAGAATGAGGGTATGCAAGGACTTTTGCTCACCGAAGTAAGATGGTGGCTTAGACAAAGAAATTTGAGGTGCAAAACTTAGGAAATGTGCAAGGCCTGGAGTGGGAATGGATAGTTTTTATGGCTGCTTGCCTTGCAATAATTTCTGAGCTGGTCTTTTTCTGTCAAAAATAGATGAATTGTCTATCTTGAAAACTCAGGAAATAGTGATTTACTTCATAAACAGGTTTAACCTCAAACATTTCCCCCCAGAATCAGCTTTCTGGCCAGTTCTGACTTCTTTAGATGAAAAAAATGTACCGGTACCTGTGCAAATTATAATTATGGCATCAAAAATTAGAAAGAAAGACTAGAAAACTCTCTCAGAAGATAACAAACATATCTGCTGATGACAAGATCTCTACACACATTTTAAAGGTTGAATACCACCAAAAGTGAGGTGACATAATAAAACTCAATTGCATACACTAGCTGACCAATTACATTTTGGGCTAAACATTTCAGAGATGCCACCAGAGCTCAATTTATCTGGGAATGTGCCAATAATTTACAACAGAAGAGTCATTCATGAATGGAGACTAAATCACAGCTCTCACTGCCATTTTTATTTGCCGTGCACATGAACAATGAACTACAATGATTACAAGTATCAGCAAAACGTGGCTCAGTTTCTCTTTGAAAAGCAACAGAAGATATATATTTGTGGCTGTAGTAGTTGTAAATAAAGGAAGTAGCTGCTGTTCACTCCTCAACAGAGGTTTCAGTTTCTGTTTTATCTATGACCTGTGAGCATAATGCTGTAGAACCAGAATTTTGATCCTTTCCTCAGAAATTCAGGCAGCAGGTTATAGCCTGCAGAACCCAGGCATACTGACTTCAGAGTGAAGACAAGAGCTCTGGAAACATCTCATAGACCTTTTAGTATATGAATGTGTATGTGTAAAAGAGAATCACTGGCAATTCTGCTTCTGAATTATCTGCCATCGGACAAATATCCAGTGTTTACATCAGCTTTCATCATTTTGCATAACCCACAAGTCACAAGAGGAGACCTATTCAAAAAATGAACTGTTTCCCACAGGTCTTGTAGACAAGACAGTATTGACATTTGCGAGGAAATGACTGGTCTGAGGCTAGTTTCCTTCTGGAGTCAAGAACAAAACACAAGGAAAGGAGAAAGAAGGCAACACTTTCTCTTCTTTCAGTTTTTAACTTTTTGCTATGCAAATGTGGGTATATGATTGTGTGTGCGTGTTTAATCTCTAGCTTCAAAGCAAGTTAATGTGTCCATGTCATTTTCCATTTGCTCAAAATTAATGGATTCATACTGTATTTTTATGGCTTAATTTTAAACTTTAAAATGGTTTGGCTTTTAGGATTCTGTTTATTCAGATGAATTAACAAAGCCTCACCTTTTTATTTCCTTAAAATAGTTTTGCTAATCTGTAGAACCAAAAATAATATGCTTCTGTTGTAGTTATACCCATTTGGAAAAATGTGGAAATCAAATTTTTAAAAAAAGAGTTTTTATTTAGATATATATGTAATTATAGCCTCTGATCTGGAGACCAAGAAAAAAAAATCTGCAACCACACCAATCTATAGTTTTAATGGCCCCTGTAACAAAAGATGTCAGGCAATGCTGCTTATTTGCTCTTCTTTTTTATCTTTTAAAAAAACCCCGCTACTGCAAAGTTCTTAAAGTGTGATTGTTATTTTTCAATCAAAGTGGGACAAAATAAGATCTCAGTACTCTCTTATGCCAACAATGCTATTAAAATATTTCACACTCATGTAAAACACTGCAGACTGCTAAGGCACTTTAGTCATTACTGCCAAAATGAACAGCACCTTGTAAATTATAGCAAAAGCAAGAAAACAGTATTTAGTAAGTTTAAGAGAGTTTACAACTGGAATTTGGATGGAAACATTTTAGAACAAGTATCTTCCTTTAAGTATTTTGGGATTATATTCCAACAAATAGAATTGGTGTCCCAAAGTACACACTAATGCTTTACTGACTGATAAGATTCTCAGTGGTTTACAATCAGCTTGTACAATTGGATTTAGCATTATACCACATTGGGATATTGCCACAGTCATTACATAGGCCTCCAGTATGGGCTATTGCCATATTTGATCTAATAGAAAGAGCCTGAAATGTTTTTTTTTGCAAGGACTTCTTTCTGTCCCAGATTTCCACAAAAATGTCAACCATTTGCACTGAACTAGGATTTGTGTTGATAAAACTTGAAGCTTTTAAGCTTGTTCTGTTCTACTGGTTAAAGATAAAATATAAGCACACATTAACATTTTATATTGTTCACCACAGAAATAATAGGCCTTGATTCCTTCAAACACATTATCCTTTTTTGCTGTTGCAAACACAGGTTTCTCAGCTCTTTTGTTACTGATCTTGGGTTATGTATGGTAGAGCAAAGATAACCTTCCTACAATACCTTAAAGATACTGAATTCCCAACTCGTATCTATTATGCAAGCTATTTACTGAAGAAAATATATGTGCACTTCCAAAATTTCTCATTAACCTACTCATCACTAAAATGAGACTGGTTGTAACATTGGCAGGGCTAAATGTCCTTCCCCTGGCAAAATTGAATGGATGAATCCAAGGGCCGCCTACCAAAGCTGGTCTGCTTTTGGAAATCCTTAATTGTGGAGGATATTGCCAATTTCATTTTAAAGTGATTATTCTGATATTAGAGAAAACTACATCTTTCCATGTATAACAATGATAGTGTTAAGGCAGTATTCATCAGGGACAACCAGCCATGAACTGCAGTTCTAGTAGTTTGAGACCCAGAGTTCCTTCCAGCATCCAGTTCTAATGATTTCTGAATGTGTCCTCTGCAACACCCCCAGCTGAATTTTTCTGATTCTATTTTATGATGGCATCTATCAAATTTGACCCAAGTGCAGACCGATTGGTTGTTATCATAATTTAGCTAATCATCTATGAAGTCCAAATAAGCTGTAGACAAGTCTTATTGGTGAACCTGATGTGGAGGAATAGACTTTGTTTTCTAGACTGGTTCTTTTCCAGTTACTTAAGCCTTTTTTGACTGAGCTCTGGAGTCTGAGTATTATTGAAAGCATTTTTTATTTTTATTTTTGTTTGTTTATGTACCTGGACACTGAAGTGTACATGCATCTTATGTTATTAATGATCATTTGACATACAGAATCACAGATATTTAGGGAGGGAACATAATTTTAAAACAACCAGCAACAGCTATTCATGTGCAACCTGCTTTCCTTGGTTTCATGCAAATTATCTTCCCATTACATTCTACCTGAACGTTTTACCAGGACAGAGATATTAGGCTATATGGGAAGAAATACTAGCTTGACTTGAGGTAGAACACCTCAGTGTGATGCCTTACAGTGCAGTGATGAGACTGATTTGGACTTGAAGCTTGCTAGCAAACACATAAAATAAAATAAACCAGTAACCCTGCTTCCCGTTCCCTTTCAACCCCAAAAGATCTCTACTTGGCCAAGTAATGTCAAATGCTAGGAGACGGAATGAAAAAAGAACAGATTGCAGTCAAAGCAGGGAAAGAAAAACATAGGGCTGGCTTTTAAATCTTTTTTTTTGTAAGTGCAACTCTTTACTTAACAGCCTTTCTGTAAAAAAAGAAGATAACAAGCACAGAGCTCCCTATCAGACTCCCATTAGGAATAGAACAGATCCAGACATGTATAGATTGCTGAATCATGTACCTTCAGACTGTGCCCTGTGGCTTTTTATTCAGGTTTACTTGCACAGCATGCAGAATACTATGTTATGCAATGCATGGCATTTCCTTTTATTTCTAAAGTATTTTCTTTGATTTTATGGCCTGGTTGCTATGAATTATTTTACTCAAGAAAGGTGTGAAACTATTTATCCCTACTTCCCTCACTTTAGAAGGAAAAAAATAGCTTCTGCCATATTTCCTAGGTCAAGAATGCATTGTGTTGATAAGAATATTTTAAAAACCTGGAATAACTGTGTATGTCACTGCTTTCACAGAACTCTGTGCAGGTCAAAGGGATAGATGTCTAGTCTGTTACTGTCTGGAGAAGTGAAGAATATTGGCATTTATATCCAGTGTCTGTATCTGTGTGCACACTTGCATTTGTATTTTCTCCTGGATTCCTTAATCCCATAATGTTCAAAGAAAAAAGAAACAGACAAACCTCTTGACGCTTGATTTCTTTGGATGTGAGCACCTGATTGACACAGACATCAAAGGTCTCACTCCAGAGTTTACTGTCTCGTCGCTTGGTGATAGCAGGAGGTACATTTCTAGTCCAAGGACGTGAAGCAAGAAGATCAGGCCGACTGTCACTGCGAAAACTGATGGAGCGCTATAAAAAAAATCAAACACCAAATGTTTAAATAGTTATTTTTTTGGACCACATTGTAATTAAATTATTGGATTTGATGCAAGTGGCATAAAGTTCATTGGGTATCATTGAGATGGGCACTTTTTTCAGCCCTAACCCATCTCACAATTGTCATGAAGATAAAATTGGTGGGACACTGGAAGCATGTATACCACCCTGAGCTCTTTGGAGGAAAGGCAAGATAGGCACATAACAAATGAAGAGTATAAAAATGAATGTATTTATACTCTTATCTTTCAAATGTTGTCTCCATGAAGGCCTAACAAATACTTAACTACTTAACATTGACTATCCTTTTCAAGCCCCCAGTGCCCCTGGTGGCACAGCATGTTAAACATTGAGCTGCTGAACTTGCTGACCAAAAGGTTGGAGGTTAAAATCCGGAGAGCAAGGTGAGCTCCTGCTGTTAGGCCCAGCTTCTGCCAACCTAGCAATTCAAAAACATGCAAATGTGGGTAGACCAATAGGTACTGCTTCTGCAGGAAGGTAATGATACTCCATGCAGTCATGCCGGCCACATGACCTTGGAGGCTTCTACGGACAATGCTGGCTCTTTGGCTTAGAAATGGAGATGACCACCACCACCACCACCACCACCAGAGTCAGACACAACTAGACTTAATGTCAAGGAGAAAACTTTATCTTTGCCTTATCCTTTTTAATTTACCATGGACTGACAGTAAATAATTCATGCACAGGCACCAGTCCTTTGATCACGAGTTTCATTGCCATGATCCTAGATGATACACCAGTCATACATGACTGGGGAAGAGGAGGTCCGAATGACCCATGTGATGGGTCATTCACCTATTGAGCAGGTGGATAGGCACCTAGGGGCAATTTCTAGATCAGGGCAGTGTCCTCTGGGAGCAAGTAGTTGGGCCCATGACAGAAATAATACTTCATCCCATCATATATAAAATCATAGAAGGCCTACAGATACACAGAACATCTCTGTTTTAAAAAAAGGTTAACCTGGATATCATGGTAGTAAGCCATGTCGAGGGCATTACATTTTGCTTATATGGTCCTAAATAAGAGGCCCCATTCCCATTTAAACTACCTCAATGTTTTTGCTTAAAAGAAGAGTCCTGCTTTCTATATAAGCCTAGTGAGATTAATTTGTAGCACAGAAAACATCTTTTTTCATTATTTCCATTTACCATACAGAACTATCTCATTAACACTGAGAAGGCTCCCAATTTGAGGTATTTCTATAATCAACTAAAAACACATTTGTTCGCCCAGGTGCTTCTCTGATTACTAAACCAACCAATTTTTCCCAATGACTATAATGTATTACAGGTTGAGTTTCCATTATCTGAAATGCTGAGGAGCAAAAGTGATTCGGATTTCAGATTCTGGAACATTTGCATATACATAATGAGATATCCTGTAGATGGTACTGAAGTCTAAACATACAACTCGTTTATACTTCATATAACCTGACTGTAGTATAAAAACAATATTTTTAACATTTTTATCAATGAAGCAAAGTTTATGTACATTGTACCATCAGAAAGCGAATATGTCACTATCTCAGCCATTAATGTGGACAATTTGTGGTTGTTTCAGATTTTGGAGCATTTCCAACTTCAGATTAAGGATGTTCAACCTGTAATTTATTAATTGATTTGATTGCAATTTCAGCATATATTATTGGAAAACAGTACATGTATAATAGTATAAATAAAGGGACAATGAAGAAAACACAGGACTGTTACAATTGAATGACACTCTTCTGTGGATGTAGAGTCCTGTGCAACCTTAGCGAATGACAGTTTTTATTGATGTGAGCATTCATTAACAGTGTACATCTTGCATCTGAAGAAGTTCATATTTTTGTGGTAACAGAAAACACTTCTAGAAGCCTTATAAAGAGTGCTGATCCTGGAGTAGTCAGCCTGCCAGGGAAGCAGCAGCAGGTTGACATTTATATGCTCATCAAAAGCCAGACATAGTTGCAATAATAACACAGCAGTTCACTGTCTAGACTCAACGGTTAGATTTCTCCTACTCTAAATGTTTCATTTGTATGCGAACGGTTGTACTTTACAAAGCACGCATGTTTAGCATTCAAGAAAAAAAGATTGTGTCTTTTGTTTTATAAGCTTCTCTTATCTGTTTTCTAGATACAGTACTGCCAGAATCTAACTGTGGGGGATACTGGCGACAAAGTATGTGAAATGCAAAGATTTACACTGTAGGTTTTGATATATATTTTAAAATATTTATTATTTATTTGATATTTTCTTATAATAGGCTGTTTCAATAGGATGAAGTTTTGCACACACAAGTCATTTCTCAAGCAAAAACTCCATTAATCCCACATTTGAGGGTGAAAAGTTCTCATCCCTGGATTTTTGAGTCTTGCACTTTGAGCTCAAGAAGAAAAAAAACCCAGGAAGCATAAACAGGCACAAACCTTTGAAACCTGCTCTCTAACTGGCTGTTGACCTGGCTATACCTGTGGCTTCAATTTTTGTAGCCATTTCTACATAACAATCACATTTGTTTTCTGAACTACATTTTAAAATGGCAGATATTTTTCTCCTTGTCACAGACTGGATGTCCCTATAGTACACTGGCACCATGTATATGTTATTTGGACTAGCAACGTCGTTAAAATGTTGGATCAGAATATTCTTCCTCTTTGTTGCCTATCCATTAGCTCATTATATGATAATTATGTGGGTGAAACATTACAACCTAAACCACTTCTTCAAACATACAAGGTTCAAAACTGAATAATTTAGAGCAGAATGGGATATGTTGTTTACTTCATATCCCTGTTTTTCTTGCAATAGTTCAGTTTGTAATTTCCTCCCACAGAAAGGAAATATAAGAAAATTAATACTTATTTTGATTACTTGCACTTACACAATCAATCAACATGTGTTCTTCTTATTCTACACAATTTCAACCTCAGATCACAAATACCAGGGTAATATTTTCAGCAATGCATATTTTAAGGCAATATACAACATCCTGGTGGCCCTCCTGATGGCGCAATGGATTAAACCACCGAGCTGCTGAACTTGGTGACAAAAAGGTTGGTGATTTGAACTCAGTGAGCGGGGTAAGCTCCCGCTGTTAGGCTCTACTTCTGCCAACCTATTTATTTTATTTTATTTTATTTCAAAAATTTGTATCCCGTCCTTCTCAACTCCCGAGGGGGGACTCAAGGAGGCTTACAAATGGCAGCCAACAATAACATCAATCACATTACAAAACAAATTGACAATTAGGTGAACAACAGAATTACAAATATACATTAAAATATTTAAAAAAAATAAAAATTGAAACATTAAAACAGTGGCAAGCACCTAGCAATTCAAAAACATGCAAATGTGAGTAGATCAATAGGTACCGCTTCTGCAGGAAAGTAGCAGTGCTCCATGCGGTCATGCTGACCACATGACCTTGGAGGTGTCTATGGACAAAGCTGGCTCTTCGGCTTAGAAATGGAGATGAGCACCACCCCCCAAAGTTGGACACGTCTAGACTGAATGTCAGAGGAAAACCTTTACCTTTTACTACAATATGTTGGCAATTACTAAAACCATAATACATGGGACTGGATTAAGTATTTTTCAATGAGTATTTTAAAATGGAACAGAAGTGACAGATAAAGAAATTGCTTACTTGGAGATGGAATAGGAATGTCTAAGTTGCCCAATACAACAAGGAGACATTATTTAAAGGGTTGGGTTTTTTGGGGGTTTTTTTTTTTGTTTTTTTACAATTTTTGCATTTCAGGTTATAATTTCAAACTGTTAAGAGTTCCTATTTGAAAATTTATTATCTTTATTTTTGGGGTTGTTGTAGGTTTTTCAGGCTATATGGCCATGTTCTAGAAGCATTCTCTCCTGCATCTATGGCAGGTATCCTCAGAGGTTGTGAGGTCTGATACCTTCATGAAAGCCTTCCACAATATCTTGATTTTTTGTTGATAATGAAATGAAACAATGATTTATAAACATAAAGTTTTTTTTAAAAAAAATGTCAGAATTTCTACCTGAATAATAAGGAAAAGCCCTATTCCAGTTATTTCCAGTCAACAGCAGTTATTTACCTTATACCACATGCAGCTTGGGGATCAAACAAACAAATACAGAGGTTTTACCTGAAGAGACTGGCCAAATCGCTTCAAAGGAGTTGCTCGGACAGGAGGAATTAAACTTGCTAGTGATGTCACTCTAGAAAGAGGCCTGACCCGTTTATTACTGGGCTCCTGTAAATTGCAGACAAAATAATGATATGTTAGAATCATAAATTAACACAGCACAAGAAAGTTTCACAATAAAATCTTGCATTGTACCAACTGCCTGTTACATGAGTATTTCTCATAACTTTACCCAATGAAAAACAAATATGAGTTTCAGGTTGATGAAAGCAAAAAGAGTTCTTCTCCCCGCACATATCATTGTTTAATTTTTCCAGTATATAGAGCCGAAGTGTTTGAATCAAAGCCTAGCTGTTAAGGCCAATTGTGAATGTGTTGGTAATTATTGTTTAATCATATTTTCCTGCTTTTTGCGTTTAAAAGATCTAAACAAAAACACAAACCATACAACATTAATACAAATTAAAACTTTGTGTGTGCGCGCACACACACTTTCAGGTTGCTTGTCAACCAATGCATTTCACAGGCTTTTCTTATGCAAGAAATACTCACACAAGATGGTTTTGCCAGTTCCTTCCTCCAAAATATAGCCTACAGAATCTAGGATTTGATGGCAGCCTCCCATCCAAATATTGACCCTAGTTAGCTTCAAGACCAGAGTCTGGTGATTATACTAGTTACTAAAACTGCTATATTATAGGCCCTTTAAAAAACCAGCAATTTAAACATAACTTTTAAACAAAGCCTCTTAAAAGGAAAAGAGGAGGAACTCTATTGAGAAGCATTCCACATGTTGGAGATGTTTACCAAGCAGGCCCTGTCTCTCTTGCAGTCTCAGGTGTCTATCCCCATAGCTGACCACATTCATGTGAGACTAAGCAATTTCTAAGAACTGCCACATAGCTAGGGTATACGTGTTTGAAAACATGCAAATGTGAATAGTTCAATAGGTACCGCTTCTGTGGGAAGATAATGGCACTCCATGCAGTCATGCTGGCCACATGACCTTGAAGGTGTCTATGAACAATGCCAGCTCTTTGGCTTAGAAATGGAGATGAGCACCACCCCCCAGAGTCTGACACGACTAGACTTTTCCCCATTATTCAAAATTTGGGGGAGTGTTACCTCCTGGTGCATATAACCCTCATCACCATCTTGTTATCCACCTCCAGGAATCTATAAGATGTTGCAATATCAAGCAGAGACTTTAACTCTTACTCATCCCCTTCCAAAAATAAACCTTTTAGTCTCAGTATTCAATGACTCAATGACCCCTAACAGGCAGAGAACAAAGATATTTGAAAACATTTTCTTCTCTTTTAATTTGCAAACAAATGCTCTTCTACATACCTAGGCCCCCCAAAAAGCTATGCCTTTTTAGCAATAGGCTGACTCAGACATGACAATTAATGAACACAACTCATTCTCATCCTATTTCCATTCGGGGGGGGGGGGGGGGGAGTTTTGTTTTCTTTTTACTGTGTATATATAGCTCTAGCAGACATATGAAGACCACAGAGAAGATATTATGTTAGAAGACAAAAGAGATATTTCAGGATTATGAAGCTTCTTTCTCTCTCACACACACAAATACACACAGTGGAATCCTATCATTGACTTTTGGGTTCAGTGGGTTTCACCTAAGTGTGAATAGGATTGTACACTTGCAAATAATGACTTCTCTGAGAAAATTCCTTTCAGCTGTAATAAAGTAAAAGGTCCAGCATCTCTGCTTGTCATGATGACCTTGCTACTGAAGGGCACAGAAAACAATGTAAAAAACATAAATATTTGGCCTCTGGTTTTTTCCCTTTCTAGCAGTCAAATCAATATATATTTCTGAATGCAACAGATCATGCATCCCAAGAGACAAAAATTATACAGTTAAACATGATGATATCTGGAAAGGTCATTTGCATGTCTAAGCATTATGCACACTTCTCAAATGTATTATGCTGAATATGACACAAAAATCCAATATGTATTGAAATGAAATGAGACATTAAAAACATAGTAAGCACTAACTAAAAAATATAATTAACATCTTGTTATATTTAATCCACATTAAAAAAAACACAAATATTCTGTTGCAACAGATTAAAATACACCAAATAAAACTATGACAAAAGCAGTAAATAATTTTGAGTTTACTATTACCCTTGCCTTCCTTATCTCCATCCGACACTGAAGGGATCTTGGGCAGCACATGTAAAATGCAAGATTGAGCAAAAAAACCAAAATCTTCCAAGTGGTGTGAATAAAATTGACCAAAAACTCCAGATCTTCCAGGAGATGTGGATAAACCCATCGACAATCATATTTTCAAGTACATCTAAAACCTGTTCACCTCTCTTTTTCAGCCATAATTTTGAAGTTTGTTTAAGCACCTTGTAACTCTAGCTTTCTTAGAAAAATTCATGTGAAAACCAATCTAACTACAACCTTCCACATGTTAGCATATTGATGTTAGCAAGTCTTCATAATAAAAGCCCATTAGCACAGCACTAGATTCACTGTTATTGGTCAGCAGTGTTATTTCCATCAGCACAGCTAAAAACCGGAGAACTGAAAGTCAGATACATATTCGTTTTCTCCACAAGTAAAGCTGAAATCCTATACCATAGTACAAAAATGGCTAAGATTTTTGTAAATGGGTTAATTCACTTGTGGATCCTGGTAACATAGCAAAACAAAACAGCAGGCTGCACCCTCATCTTCATCAGCAAAAGTACATTCAGCTCCTTTTGTCTTCGGCAGCAGTCACTTGGCTCAGCCTTTTTAAAGGTACATTTATTTTTTTACGCCACTGCAGCATCACTGGAATACTGAACACAGTAAAAAAAAAAAAGTCATTGAGCTTTCACTATAATTCCCCTCTCGATGGCGCCTCAGCCACCAGCTGTTTCTTACTTAGCATGCCAATGCTGTTGTGCTACAATTCTCCCTTTACCGAGAGAAGCTTCTCATCAAATATACTGCACTGCAGTCAGGAGACCCTGAAGTGTGTAGGCTAGGGCTGTGCTACAATACACTCTCTTCATAAAACTCACCTTGTTATACATTTCCTCTGCTTTAATACCTCCGTAATATAGTAACTTACCGGTATTTAATAACTATATTGATAGTGTGTTTTCAAAATTAAGACACAAAGGCTGTCTGAGGACTGTTATTCTGAGACTACATAATCCCCATTGTCCCCAACAAGAAATTTCAGAATGTTTTGAGCCACCTTTTATCTCCCCAAGTGGTTCCCTTCACTCTCATCAAACAACCTGTCCTTACCACCTGAATAAAAAAAAAGCGGGGACAGAAAAGCTATGAACCATTCACACTACATTATAGCCCCACGATTTCAGTTTAACTGTCTTGACAACATCCTATGGAAGTACCAGTGTTTGCAGCTTGGTGAGGCACTACAGTTTAAATTTCTAATTATTGCTCCTGAAACTGTAAATCACAGATGTAAACCACGAGAGTAAATGTACAATATAGTACTACATATTGTTGGAGTATGCAAGGAATTAGTGAGTGTGTGTGTGTCAACTTTAAAATAAGATCCATGAAACTGATTGGTTGGGCAATGTCCAGGGAGATGGCTGAGCCTGGGACTTTTGGTTACTGTTACATTTTCAGACTTGAGCTATGCAGAAAAGCACAAAGAGAGAAGCAGAGAGAGAGAGAGTGAGTTTGGAGTATACTCTTGCTTCATGAGCTGCTGAAAGAGTTTTATTACACGGACAAAGAAAGACCATTTTAAATCTCTCATAAAAGGACATTATGTGAGTCAATGCAACTGATCACATGATTGTAAATATGTTGTTCTGATTTACAAAGAATAAACTACTTTTTCTTCATTATTCATCTGTGTGGCATATTTTCTTTCTCTGGCAAGGCAGTGTGTGGGCTGATCAAACGTGAACTACATGACGCCACACATATCTTGTCTAGTACCTTAATAGATACCCCTTCCACATCCTATACATCTGATTTCTTGAATGCAGTCTCCATTCTGAGAGGAGACATGACAGCCATGTTTAAATATTTGAAAGGATGTCACACTGAGGAAGGGGGCAGGCTTCTTTCTGCTGCTCTGGAGACTAGGACTTGAAACAATGGATTCAAACTGGAGGGAAAAAAGGTGCCACCTAATCATTAGGAAGAACTTCCTGATGGTGATAACTGTTTGGCAGTGGAATATGCTTCCTTGGAATGTGGTGGAGTCTCCTTCTCCGGAGGTTTTAAAGCAGAGGCTGGATGACCATCTGTCAGGGTTGCTTTGATAATGTGTTCCTGAATTGCAGGAGGCTGGACTGGATAACCCTTGTGATCTTTTCCAGCTCTATGATTCTATGATTAAATGATTGAGCCCAAGTATGGAAAATCCTGAACTATGTCAATGTCTTCATCATCTACTTTAAAATAAATCCTCTATGTCCATTTTTTAAAATTAGCTGTAGTCATTGAGAACTGTAGTCATTGAACACTGAAAAAGCTATAGTTTTTTCAGTGTTCAACTGCAAACCTGCCTTTTCACTTTATTCCTTGACTTTCTTCAGTAATCATTCCAGGTATTTGCTATTTTATGCTAGTAGTACGGTGTCATCTGCATATTTTAACTTGTTGATGTTCCTTCCTTTAATTTTCATGCCTTTTCTGCACAATTGAATCCGTCTTTATGTATGATATTCAATGTACAAGTTTAAAAAATAGATTGATATAATGCAACATTGTCTCCCTTGCCAAATGGAAACCATTCTGTTTCTCCATATTACTGTTTTGATGATAGACTCTTATTTTGAATACAGGTTATGCATCAAGACAATCAAATGTTAAAATACGTTATTAAAACATTAGACGCCTTTTTGGGCCATACTGAGCATTTGCTACCTGTGAGCCATTTTCCATGTTTCCTGACAGGTTTTAGCTACATTCTGTCTCTGTAGTGTCAAGCAGCTCGATTGAAGCTGCTACTTGGTCGTATAATGTGTTCACATAACAGTTATAGAGCATCTGTATTCTTGCCTTGAATTTATTTATTTATTTACAGTATTTATACCCAGCCCTTCTCAGAGGGACTCAGAAGGGCTTACAGAATGCACATATGGCAAACATTTGATGCCAATTATACAATTAACAAAAATAGACAACACAAACAGAGGTAAAGACAGTTTTTCCCATCTCATTTATAGCATCTTGGAGGCTGTGCTCGACTTTGGTCACAGGGGGTGCTCTCGCTTCATTTTCCATGCCAAGGAGCTTTCCTCTGATTGATGTTCTTAAGGGTGCCTTTATTACCTCCCCACTAAAAGCGGTACCTATTTTATCTACTCACATTTCTGTTTTCAACCTGCTAGGTGGGCTGATGCGCTGGGGCCAACGGTCGGTGCTCACTTCATCCTGGACTCAAACAGATGGGTTCTGCCCAAATGCGCACAGGTTCAAGAAGCAGAGTATTGCCTTTTTTATACTTTGAAGCCATGATCATTACTTTTTCTGCAGCACAGGGTTTAACCCTTTGATTTCTGGGATTTTATGGAAGAAGTCTCTTACTGTTCCTTTTTGCTTGTTATTTTCTATTTCTCTGCATTGATTATTACAACAATCCTCTTTGCCCTGCACACATGTCATGGGACAGTTGTTTTTAGGGTTCTGAGTCCATTACTGTCCCCTTTTATTTTTGTTTCTCATATGATCTGTACTGCTTAAAGAGTTTCAGCTGTCATCCATTGAGGCTTCTCTTTCTTTTTGGCTGCAGACAGTCTTTTTGTCTTCCTCCCTGACAATGTCCTTGGCTCCCATCCAGGGTTCTTCTGGCTCCCAGATAATTCCCTTAATAGTGCAAATATATTTTAACGTTTTCTTTAAATTATAGACAATGTTCTTCAGGTTGCATTTGGGCATGAGGATTGGTATAATATTCTTCTTTAGGTTTAATGTGTGTGTATGCATGTGTGTGTGTGTGTGTGTGTGTACACACACACACATACATGCAGATCATGGTTTGTGCCTGGTCTTATTTTTCAAGGGAAAAATAAGACAAAAATTGGAGATAGGCAGAATATAAAACTTTAGATAGCCAAGATGACTTGACTTTCTCCAATGTGGGTGTCAAGCACTACACAAAGTAGTAGCATGTTTGTTCCCTGTTTTTAAAAGAGGCACACAAAGGCAGCTTAACAAGTTTGTAGCTGTATGAAATCATTTTGTAAAAGAGACTGATTAGCGTTAGTCCAGATTAAGTAAATCAAGCACACTCCTGCTAATTGGCTCCAGGTGCTAGTAGAATTACTTGGTATAGTGGTTAGAGGAAGACTAGTAAATTTCTTAAACAAAAAATAGGATTGTATCCAAAAAGATTACATTACAAATTTTACTACAGTTGTAAAGCAATTTCATGTTGTCCCAAAGGAGATTTCTATTTCCAACAGGACTGGCAATATGCCATCTTTGAGAAACACGGATTTTCCCACAGAGACAACAAAGTGATGTCATGTGTCTTTTGGGTCTTGGCACAAGTCTTATATACTACTTTTTTGCCCTAATAAGAGAGGAAGGTGGCAAAATCTGCACTCTGGTATTCATAGGGAGATATTGATTCCTACATATGTATTATTCTGAATTCATTCTAAATATTCCCCATGCAGTCATGCTGGCCGCATGACTTTGGAGGTGACTATGGACAATGCCGGCTCTTTGGAATAGAAATGGAGATGAGCACCACCCCCACAACTAGACTTAATGTCAAAGGGAAATCTTTACCCTTATATATATTTTATAGAAAGCTACCTTTTTCAATGTTTTTGCACTTCTTTGTACTAAGATTCCATAGGACTTAAAGAAATCTCCTAAATTCTAGTTCTTCAGCATAATCATATAAAATTATCTGAACGAAATGTATCTTCTGACTGGTATCCAATCTTGCCAGACTTACTTGTCAGAATTCTGACTCAATTTTCAGAATGATATTGCTCTGTACTTGTATGTACTCTTCCTGCACATACCTAGTTTCTCATTAACAACAATACATTATCTCTTTTTTTAAAAAGGTATATAATTTCTGATAAAATCAAAATGATGACATTTAAAAGTACGTCAGAAATCATCCTGTTCAAGCATTATGACCTAGTTTGCTTCATAAGATGGAATATGCAAGAGCCAGGCTCTCAGCCTCTCTTCATGACATGCCACAATTAAACCATGAAGTCTTGAATTAATATTTTCTATTTTGTCCTAACCAGGAAAGCCTGGTTATCAATTCTGGAACACCTATAGGTTCCAAACCAACTTGAGTTCTGGGTTTTTAAAAAGCACAACACGTAATTACAGTCTCTCAGTTTCAATGAAATGGAAAACTACATTTAATTAGAGCTTTCCTGGTTTCACATGCTATGAAAGGAGGAGCCAAGGCCTGAGTGAATGCTTTACTCTTAGCAAAAACAGTGTATGTGCCAGTATCTTGCTCATATCAGAGTTTTTAAAATCATAAGTATGATCATTTTAGTGCATCTGTGTTCTGCAGTCCACATGATGGAGCCCTTATCCTTTTATAAATGGTTAGGGTATAGATACTGATTTAGACACCAGACCCCATCTGATCTTAGAAGTTAAAACAGGGTCATCCTGGTTAGAGCTTGGATGGAAGACTGCCAATGAATAGCAGATGCTATAGGCTACATTTTGGAGGAAAGAACTGGCAAAACCACATCTGAGTATTCCTTACCTAACAAAAGTCTATGAATTTTATTAGGTAAACAGGAACATATACAGAAAGAGAGAAATAGATGCTGTCTGTCCACACTACAGTCCATACACAAGAAAAAAATTGAGTAGCTTATTATTTATTTATTTCCTGCCTTTATAACCCACCCTTCTCACCCCCGAAGGGGGACTCAGGGAGGCCTCACAGCAAGCACGATCGGTGCTTTCACATAAACATTCAACAAATACAA